AATCGTGTTTTTAAATTTTTTCACGTGGCTAGATTTCTCACATTGGAACCAAATATTTCATCTCCAAATGAAAGGACTAATATGAAATCTAAAATGGTTATAAAATGTCATAAACTATGGGCTATATTCCGCAATTCAAGGCCGGTTTACACGATAAGCGTTTTGGGCACGGCACCCCTGAAAACAGGCACCCGTGCCCAAAATTTTCGGCACGGCACCTCAGCGTTTTACCGTGTAAACGGGACAAAAATCAGCACAGGTGCCGAAAAATTAGACGTGCCGAGACTTTCTCACGAGGTAGTCTCGGCACGTCTACCCAGAGGTGCCGTGCCAATAAATGGAGAAGAATAGAAATGTGTTCGACAACGAGCATGCGCAAAACAATTCCAGCATGGCGGCAAGCGGCGAAAAAATACAACTTACAAGTAAGGAAGAAAAGCAAGGTGAAAAAGAAATTTTAAATAACACAAAAACACGTAAAAATCGTGGTGTCGTGTGGCAAGACGATGCAACAAACTTTTTAATTGACGTTTGGGACGAGGAAGTTATCCAACTGCAGTTGGAAAACTGCAAGACGTCAAAACCGTTAGTGCAAGTCGACGGTCAGCGGGTATAGATTTTCTCATGGTTGTTTCTTCTAGATATTTGTCCACGTATTTCTTCTAATATAAATGTGAATGTTTCCCTGGTTACTCGGAAATTTTGATACCAATGTTCATCGGTGAAAAGAACAGTAACTAGGTCATTACCAGATGACCGTCCTTCGATGCGTCCATACGTCTCGAATTCGCGGCGGGTGAAGACAAGATAACGCAACAGTTACGAGAAAAAACAACTCCTTTTGTCTTTTAACGTACGTTTCTAGTATCGAATTGGGTTTTTTCTCCGTTTTTGGCTTACATAATACTTTTCTGCGTTTCAACAAATATAAATATATAACTCTATTTCTGTCCACCATCTTTAAACTTTACTGAGGGTTACATGAAAAATAGGCGGACGTACCTTGACCGCTAACAGTGAATACCGTCGTAAATAGAAAGTAGAGGTGCCGTTTTCCGAAGGAGCACGGTGCTTTTACAAAAGTGCGGTCTACAAAAAGTTGCCGTGTAAACGTGTAAATAGCGAAGTACGAGTTTTGGCACGGGTGCCTATTCTTAGGCGTGCCGTGCCCAAAACGCTTGTCGTGTAAACCGGCCTTCAGATGCGATCTAATAAACAGAAGCATTTTTTAATTGTCAAATTAATGCCGTATGTCCTCAGGCGAAATATTGAAACGGGATCTCTCGATTATGACCACTTAAGATTTTATTCAGAGAGACATGAAAAAATTTCGACATACGTTTTTTTAATTGGAGAACTCAGTGGATTTTCATATAGGCCGAGACAATCGTGTTTTTAAATTTGTCTTCACGCGGCTAGATTTCTCACATTGGAACCAAATATTTCATCTCCAAATGAAAGGACCATTTGTACGTTTTGCATGGTCTATCGCTAATCTTCGTTGTATGTAGCTTATAGTAAATATAGAGAAACTTTTATTACCTTGGAAGAGGACAAAAATCTTCTATATTTTCAGCATTTTGTCATGGAATCTAAAAAGGTTATGAAAAGTTATAAAATTATGGGTATATTCCGCAATTCAGACGAAATCGAATGAACATAAGAATTTGTTAATTGTCATATTAATGCCGTATGTCCTGAGGCGAAACATTGGAACGGGGTCTCTCGATTATGACCACTTAAGATTTTACTCAGTGAGAGCAAAATAAATTTTTAAATACGTTTTTTAATTGGAGAACTCGGTGGAATGGCATATAGTACGAGACAATTGTGTTTATAAATTTGTCTTCCTGTGTCTGTATTTCTCACATTGCGACCATTTATTTCATCCGTAGATGAAAGGACCGTTGGTACATTTTGGTCTATCCCCAATCTTTCTTGTATATAGCTTTTAGTAAATACAGCGAATATTTTATCTGAAAACAGTTGCTTCAACTGGCTTATTTTACCTTGGATGAGGAAAAAAATCTTCTATACTTGCAGTATTTCGTCATGAAATCTAAAATGGTTATAAAATGTCATAAACCATGGGCTATATTCCGCAATTCAGATGCGATCTAATAAACAGAAGCATTTTTTAATTGTCAAATTAATGCCGTATGTCCTCAGGCGAAATATTGAAACGGGATCTCTCGATTACGACCACTTAAGATTTTATTCAGAGAGACATGAATAAATTTCGACATACGTTTTTTTAATTGGAGAACTCAGTGGATTTCCATATAGGCCGAGACAATCGTGTTTTTAAATTTGTCTTCACGTGGCTAGATATCTCTCCCATTGGAACCAAATATTTCATCTCCAAACGAAAGGACCATTCGTACGTTTCGCATGGTCTATCGCTAATCTTCCTCGCATAAAGCTTATAGTAAATATACGGAATCTTTTATCTGAAAACAATTGCTTCAAATAGCTTATTATTTTTTACCTTGGAAGAGGCCAAAAACTTCTATATTTGAAGCATGTCGTCATGAAATCTAAAAAGGTTAAAAAATGTCTCAATTATGCTCTAAAAATTCCGTAATTCAGACGCGATCGAATGAATTAACAGAAGAATTTGTTAATTGTCACATTAATACCGTATATCCCGAGGCTATAAACATTGGAACGGGGCGTCTGGATCATGACCACTTAAGATTTTATTCAGTGAGAACATGAATAAATTTCGACATACTTTTTAATTGGAGAACTCGGTGGATTTCCATAGAGGACGAGATAATCGTGTTTTTAAATTTGTCTTCACGTGGCTAGATTTCTCACAATGGAATCAAATATTTCATCTCCAAATGAAAGGACCATTCGTACGTTTTGCATGGTCTATCGCTAATCTTCGTTGTATGTAGCTTATAGTAAATATAGAGAAACTTTTATTACCTTGGAAGAGGACAAAAATCTTCTATATTTTCAGCATTTCGTCATGAAATCTAAAAAGGTTATGAAAAGTTATAAAATTATGGGCTATATTCCGCAATTCAGACGAAATCGAATGAACATAAGAATTTGTTAATTGTCATATTAATGCCGTATGTCCTGAGGCGAAACATTGGAACGGGGTCTCTCGATTATGACCACTTAAGATTTTACTCAGTGAGAGCAAAATAAATTTTTAAATACGTTTTTTAATTGGAGAACTCGGTGGAATGGCATATAGTACGAGACAATTGTGTTTTAAAATTTGTTTTCCTGTGTCTGTATTTCTCACATTGCGACCATTTATTTCATCCGTACATGAAAGGACCACTCGTATATTTTGGTCTATCTCCAATCTTTCTTGTATAGAGCTTTTAGTAAATACAGCGAATATTTGATCTGAAAACAGTTGCTTCAACTGGCCTATTGTACCTTGGATGAAGAAAAAAATCTTCTATACTTGCAGTATTTCGTCATGAAATCTAAAATGGTTATAACATGTCATAAACTATGGGCTATATTCCGCAATTCATATGCGATCTAATACACAGAAGCATTTTTTTAATGGTCAAATTAATGCCGTATGTCCTCAGGCGAAATATTGAAACGGGATCTTTCGATTATGACCACTTAAGATTTTATTCAGAGAGACATGAATAAATTTCGACATACGTTTTTTTAATGGGAGAACTCGCTGGATTTTCATATTGGCCGAGACAATCGTGTTTTTAAATTTGTCTTCACGTGGCTAGATTTTTCACATTGGAACCAAATATTTCATCTCCAAATGAAAGGACCATTCGTACGTTTTGCATGGTCTATCGCTAATCTTCGTTGTAAGTAGCTTATAGTAAATATAGAGAAACTTTTATTACCTTGGAAGAAAACAAAAATCTTCTATATTTTCAGCATTTCGTCATGAAATCTAAAAAGGTTATGAAAAGTTATAAAATTATGGGCTATATTCCGCAATTCAGACGAAATCGAATGAACATAAGAATTTGTTAATTGTCATATTAATGCCGTATGTCCTGAGGCGAAACATTGGAACGGGGTCTCTCGATTATGACCACTTAAGATTTTACTCAGTGAGAGCAAAATAAATTTTTAAATACGTTTTTTAATTGGAGATCGAACCCGGTGGAATGGCATATAGTACGAGACTATTCTGTTTTAAAATTTGTCTTCCTGTGTCTGTATTTCTCACATTGCGACCATTTATTTCATCCGTACATGAAAGGACCATTGGTACAATTTGGTCTATCCCCAATCTTTCTTGTATATAGCTTTTAGTAAATACAGCGAATATTTTATCTGAAAACAGTTGCTTCAACTGGCCTATTGTACCTTGGATGAGGAAAAAAATCTTCTATACTTGCAGTACTTCGTCATGAAATCTAAAATGGTTATAAAAAAACCTATTTTGTGTGAACTGTAGTTGCGCATTAAATCATAATCCAATTCACTTTTAGACCAAGGGGCACGTTATATAAAAGCGTAGTTAACTTTTAACTATAGTTAGTGACAGAATTGACCAATGAGAGTCGTGCATGTACTTCTGAGTTAATTACGATTTAACCACACAAAATTTAGTTAAGAGTTTCATACAACCTGCCCCCAGTAGGCTTTTTAGGGGAAAGTGATGGAGATGGGTGAGCCCCGAGGGCACAGAAACAGGCGAATGGGCCACTGCAGAGCAACATTTAACTATTTTAGGATTTTTCTATCAACCATTAATGGACCTCTGGTATTTATCTTGATTTGGCTAAATACCGCAAATCATATTCATATAATAATAATGTTTTGGTTACAATTTAGCACGTCGCTATATATAGCTCAAAATCGGGATAAATTTAATGCTTTTGGATTTTTCATCGACTTCAGCAGAAAATAGTGTTTTGACTACATACTTTCAGTTTCATACGCAGCACAACTTTCGGTCTCAGAGGTTTGGAACTCAAATTTGAGGAAAAAGAAAATCACTGGCCTAAACTTCCAGCTGATGATATTGTTCAAGTTTACCGAAATGTTCACTGACGCAATCTTGTTAATTCTATCAATAATGTGCTTACAACAATGAGGTAGTCGAATGACAACATAAGAGACGTTTCCAGAATGTCAATGATCATCTTAAGATAACGTTGGTTGCCTTGTGTTGTTTTACCACGTTCTGATGGCTTTAAAGCAAGAAGACATGGGTATCAATATGTGAAGGTATTCATATGCGAAGAAAGAATAGCAGCATATACCTTCAGGAATTTATTGAATTTCTTACGAGCTTCCTTAAATTGTCCGACTTGAAGGTAAGCCAGGCCCCAGGCTCCCCAGACAGCTCCCGGATCAAGTCCACATTTTGTAGTTACCTCCATCGCCAAGGACAGACTTTCATTCTCAATCAATTTGTCGCGAAGTCGCCTGAGAAAAGGAGAATTTGTAACTTACATAATTTTGGTGGAATACATGAATGTCCAGTAGTCAATTGCACATGCATAAGTGAATTGCGCGTATTGCTGAATTCTGGAATATTTAAATATTTCTATTCGTATATGGGGATGGATACACAATTTCACTTGGCAACGCATTTGCGAAAGGTTTAATCTCGAAATCGTTTTTAAATGCAAAAATCCCGCAAAAAAGCGAGCAGTATTTCTTTTAAATGCTAACATTAACGTTTGAAAGACTTGTATGCTGTTCAGCGATTACCAATTGGGTGATATTGTAAAAAGCAGAGAACAGATATGACCTAAAGTTGGCTATAGCAAACTGACGGGGTTTCTCTTGCAATGATTAGGGTGATTCGATTAATTGGAACATACTCAGTCGAATCTGTAATTATATCATGCATATAGAGCGCAGATATATCATATTATTATATACACAAGCGCCAGATATGAGGTATGCTGCAATTTCATTGGTTGGCTACTAGACAGATATTAGCTCATATCTGTCTAGTAGAGAAAGTAAACAAAATGGCCGAAAGATTTGGGGAGTTGAGTGAAATAGAAATCCAAGCTTTAGATGATAATAGCACACCAAAATGCACCGAAAGGGCGACAAAGTTTGTGTATATGGCCGATAGCTATCAGCTCATATACGACTCGAGTTCGCAGAATAACTGTTAAATATATAACAGATAACATACCTTGCAGACTGGGAAGACATCAAGTCTTCAATCGATGGCACTTCATAGAAATTGGATTCTATGAGGAATTTTACCAACTCCACACGACTCATGTAACTAAAGAGCAAAGATATAACACATGCCTGACTCAGACTGTGAAATCATACACAAATATAATTAATGTTGATGTTAGCCAGTATACATAAGAAAGTTTTCTCTCGTCCATGATTGCATGGCTATCAGGCTATGTCAACATTACAATCGTCAACAATTATATACGATATTCCTGAGTGCTCAATCGTCAAATCTTTCACCTGGGGATCAAATGAAAGACACGAAAATTTGCTCATACTCACGTGTCACATAGTTCCACGCCGTGAGTTTCGCCACAAATCGTAAATTTCAACTTAGCATGATACAACAGTTGACAGATGATGCTGGAAAGACAGTACATACTTCATCTTATACAGTTGTTCGGTCGAGACAACCAAATTGAAAGTATTTGTTTCAACAATCTGACTAATCTGTCTTTACATAGTATACTGCCTTTTAAGACAACTTGCTTGCCCGGAATTTGCTTTTGCATGGATGTTTCATTAAGTTTCTCACCTTATATTAACAGATTGTTGTCAATTTCTTCGCTCATTCCTAGTTTCTGTGATAGTTTATTGCAAAGGTCGAGCAAAAGCTCTGCACAGGTTTTACTATCGCCATGCAACGCCAGGATCGAGGTGCATAGAGACGAACTAGGAGCCTGCAAGAGAGATGAAAATCAGGTGGGAATGAGCGTAGCAGGGTCTTTTGATAATGGTGTTTGGTTTATTTGGCACAAGACAAGGCCAAGGGGGGAGTCATGACAACTCAAGCTTATCATTCTGTCGTGAGATCACTGAGGATATATAACAAAAAAGCTCCAAAGAACAACATCAGTTTTGTAATCTCAAGTTATATACAACAAGACAACAAATTTGCGGTGATTTTTTGACTTTATTTCAAAGTCATTCTCGACCAATTCTCACTTGTTTGAAAACGACTTTGAAATAAAGTCGAAATATTACCGCAAAATTGTTGTTTTGTTTTATATCTTCAGTTTACAAGATGTTGTTTTTTGGAGCATATGTCTTTTCTATATATTTCATCAAAGTCTGCTGTTAATAAAGGCATATTCAACATAGCACATAATAATACATTCAACATGTCAGATTGACCTCACATGCCGTTGCAACGTTTCAAATGGGCCTCAACAGCAAGTTCACAGCATGTTGATAAATATTTTTACTCTTACACATAAACCATTTAAAATAATATAGATAATTAACAGGGGGAAATGGCAAGGCAAACGAAAAAGATTACACTACACCTTTCTTTAAATTTTATTACATTATTAGCGATAAAAATACACATTCATATAATATGCAAACAGCTATACTCAATTCTCTACCAAAGGCAGCGACGCTTTATAGTCAGAGAAATTAGAGCCACTAAAATCTAGAACAAACAGTCAAAGCTGGAGACCTGATCCCTTTGGCTTCATAAATCGTGTGATAAATAATATACAACAGTCATTATACAAATAATGATACTTCTTGGTGAGATCGTTAGAGCAATATAACCTATATTGCTGTGTATCAACGTCCACAAATCACCAACTTGACGAATTTGGCGAGCACAGTTTCAAATTAATGTTAACGTAGGTTGTAAGTAAAAGACTATAAAAAGCCATTTGTGGGGGTTGCAAATTTTAAATGAGCTACAGCAGGAAATCCGTAGTTCTCACTAGGAGGTGTTAATGTGGGGGCGAGCTATAAGTCCAGGCTGCATCGTTTTTCCCGTATCTTACATTGGCTTCAGGGATCGAAAAAGATTGCTGTGAGGCAGTTCAAACATGTTGTTGTGAAAACATATTGTGGTCGTGATTTCTGGCAAACAATACGCACTATCACGAACAATCCTTAAATGGTCGAAGAAATTAAAATGGTTTAAATATTTAAATACCATTTAATGCGGGATATAGTTGACTGATTTCAGCCAATGAAGCTAATAATCAAACTGAAACTTCGTCAAAACCAAACAATGATATCGATTCAGCTTTTTTAAGCGACATGGCGCAAGGCTACGAGGATTGTAGATTCAGAGGTCTTGTTGATGACAACCTTCGTTGTTTAATCTGCAAGGGTGTTCTACGAGATCATGTACGATGTGAAAACAATGAACACTATTTTTGCCGACATTGCATTACAGCTTCACTTGGGAAATCACAACAATGTCCTGAATGTGAGGACAGTCTTACAGTTGAAACACTTGCCAACGTTCAGTCTGGTATTGCCGAAAGATTATCAGAGTTGGAAATCTCTTGTCGATACAAACAACGCGGTTGTGAGAAGCTGGTGAAACTAGGCTCCCTTGAAGCACACGAGATGAGTTGTGGTTTCAGCAAAGCGGCGTGTTCGGAGGACGAATGTGATACCGATTTAAACCCTTCAGAAAGACTGGATCAGGAAGCCAGTGTTGTAAGTGACTGTTGTGAGACTAAGGGTAAAACATTCCCTTCACGAGATCAACTTCATGAGCTAAAAACTGACTTGAATGAATTTCGCTCTTTTGTTCAAAATGAAATAGTGGAGGAATTACGAAAGGGGGGAGCGTCGGGGAATTGACCGACATCATTAAGCAGCTCGACCTTTCCCAGCACAATGCTCAGTGGATTGAATCGCAGCTTCGATTACCGTTCGCCTGTCGAGGTCACACAACTGTCCTCTTTCAAAACAGTTTCTACGTCATAGGTGGGCTCACGGAGTGCCAAGATTTAGCCCTTGATACTGTTCACGTGATTCCATTGACCCCTCCCTATAAACCAGAGTTGGTGTGTAAATTACCGGAACCCAAATGTTTTCATGGCGCGACGGTGGTGAACGACAAGATCTACATCATCGGTGGTTGTAAGCAATACACGGACACAGCCTCAGACGCTGTTACAGAATATGATCCTGTGAAAAAATGCACGAAACAGCTCAAGTCTCTCCCATATCCCGTCACCGGTATGGCGACGGCAAATTGGCAGAACAAAATCCTAGCGGTTGGTGGCATCAACCGAAAAGGTAAGTACCTAGATTCTGTCATCATGTACGACATCGGCACGCAACGTCATCATATCTTACCCCGGATGGGAAAAAAGAGAGCATATTGTACAGCGGTTGTTGTCGGCAACAAGTTGATAGTGATGGGAGGTGCTGATGAACGAAGTTCAAGGATAAGTTCGGTGGAATGTTACGACTTTCAAACTTACACGTGGAACGATATGGCGCCAATGGACGAGCCTCGCGCCTATGCAACCGCTGTTGTGAATTATTCTTAAATGCAATCGAACCTCCAATAAGACTATGGGCACAAACCACGTACCCAAGGTTTCTCCAACATATTGAACATATTTTCCCTTGGATCGTGTGGACAGACGTCAAAGCGATAAACTAAATAAAAACGCACGAAAACGACGCTCGTTTGCACATCGCCCAAGTGGTCAACCTCCATCTGTAGGGACATGGTCCAGAAATTCGAAGTGATGATACCGATAGACGACTGCAATATTGTTATGCAAGGAATTCATTGCCTCTAGCCGAGTTCATGTCTGTATTGACTTAGACGGTTAGAGCCACTAAAGAAGAATTTGTCAATTTCATCGGAGTTTAACGATGGAGGAAGATATACACATGCTAATGCTATCTTTGACATTGTTCGTGGTAGCCATTTAGGGCGAATTACGATCCATAAACATTCATGATCCACGCTAGAAAGATCATATCGAACTTTTGTTGGGATAGAGTCTTTAATAAAAAAGGCTACGCCGCCACCTCTACCATATTCTCTATCATTCCTAACTAAGTTGAATTGTGGTAATCCAGGAAGGTGCACAGCTTCATCTGGTACATCATTGGATAACCACGTCTCTGAAATCATCACAATGTCAGTTTTTCTATTGTCGATAACATGCGAAAGTTCATCAGTTTTCTTCAAAATTGATCGAGCATTTAGACTCAAAATATTAGGTAAATTACGATTGGGTTTAAAGTTCTCGATCGTGCGTATTTTAACCAAATTTGAAGTATTTCTTGAATTGTCGGCATTCGAAGTATTTCTTGTATTACATCGGGTAGTAATTCGGACAGGAATCTTGCTAATAATTTTATCATGACAATCAGATGCGTTCTGGGAGTTTAGACAAGAGTTCCCATTGGTGGTTGTAGGGAGAGATCGTATCTCGGTTGGTGCGGCCATAAACGTGTTAAATTTTGTTTCCATGGTTTCCGAGCTCTCTTTTGGGGTCGGTCGTCGGGTAAAAAATGACCATCATGTATTTGATTGGCGTTCTTCTTCGTGTAGAATCCTCTTTTTGGTGAAAAGGGCATATTGTGTTTACGAGTTTGAACTTTTTTAGGGTGCTTGAAATCACAACGATTACCTTTTAGACACCGACCGCGACGTTTGAGGAATGGGCAGAAAGTGTTGGCTTTTAAAGGGAAATCATATCCGCCATTCTTCATCTCTGTAGTTCTCTGTGGTGGGCCTGTAGTGGCGATCTGCTTAGGTTGCTGTTGGTCCTTAGTTAGCAGGTGATATTTATTTTGCTGCTTGCTTCGATAGTCGTTAATTTGTTTATCAATATCTTCTACCATCGTCACTCCAGCTTCGTCATTCTCTGTTTCTATATTAATTGTCTGTTCGTATTGGGTTTGCTCCTCAGATTCTGAATGATATTTAGTGTACTGCTTAGTACGGTAATCATGAATTTGTTTATCAGTCTGATCTACCAACCCAATTCCGGCTTCTGTATCATTACGTGATTCATTTGTTAAATCAACAGTATTAGGTGTGTTTTCAATACTGTCATGTCCATGCTTTGATATAGTAAGTTCAGTGGAGCGTGTCGTGGCATTGTATAGAGATTTGATTATGCAAATTTCTTCGCGAAGGTGTTTGATTTCAAGCTCTAATTTCGCATTTTTCAGCTTTTCTTCCTCGAAATCAAGTTGTAATAGCTTCATTTCGTTACTTAAATGCGATACTGTAAAGGACAGGGATTCCTCTTGAAGGGAATCTTGTAATGAATGCATTGCATCGAGTCTACTTTTAATTATTTCGATCTGAAGCATAACGTTATCTGTATTGTCGTCGACTCGACCACAGCGCGTTTCGTGCAACTTTGTATGGTCTTCATATACACTTTGAGGAGAAACATTTTGATCGATTAAATATTTTCTGGCCAATATACCCTGGGTTCCTTTCAAGGTTAGGGTATTTAGTTTCCCGGGTACCATATCACCACGAGGTCTGAAGTAGAGGCGTCGAACCTTTTTGCATTGCCTCCAGAAGGCCGCCATTTCCCTTGTTCACAAAAAACCGTATCAACGAATTCTTGCAAGGATTCGTAGTCGTCGC